TGGTGTGCCCCTTTAGTCTTGTTTTGTTTTGTGGCCTGTCTAATCTTTGGCTAAAGGGTGAACCTCAGGAGTGACTTCATTACTGAGCTAAAAGAGTGTCTGGGGACCATACTCTTGGGGTTTCTCCAGTCTCCTGCAGGCCAGTAAGTCTGGTCTTTTTTTGTGAGTTAGAATTTTGTTCTACATTTTTCTCCAGCTCTGTCCGGGCAGGGGTGAAAAAGTTTTGATGAAAGGATGAGAACATCCATACTTTGGATTTTCAGTTTTGCATCTCAGTCACTAATATTCAAATCACCAAAAAACAAAATGAAAATGGGTGAAACGTAGCCCAACTTGTAATAAGTTTGTCTCATTCATTGAGTTTTCAACTGCTTACATATGCTGTCTTAATTTATTTTGGAATAAATTTGGGTAATAAAGAGCCACACAAATGCACAGTCAGTCTCTTAAGAACAATTTATGCACTTTATTTTTATCATTTTTTAAAAAAGATAAACGAGGTTTTTAAGGATTTTGGAAGGATAGGAATAAAATCAAATGGTGAATTATGTAATTTAAATTCTTTCTGGATCCTGGATCAGAGACAGATTACTCAATAAGCAAGTTATGCAAGGGCTTACTTGTGTTTACTTACTAATCTGTAGTGCAGAATTTCACGTGTTTTTCATCTTTGACGTGGGGAAACCCATGTGAAATTGGGCACTATAGATTAGTAGGTAAACACAATTAAACCCTTGGATACCTTGATTACTGGTTAATCGGCCCGTCTAGATGTGTCACATTCTAGTAACTACAAAAATAAGCAGTCTGAAAGAGTTAACAGATTTTCAAACCTGGAGAAAGTCTAGTACTAATCACTCTGGGATATATAATTTATCTATCCTGATGGCTAGTGGTTAAGTGCTTGGCTGCTAACCAAAAGGTCGGCAGTTCAAATCCACCAGCCGCTCCTTAGAAGCCCTAAGGGGCAGCTCTACTGTCCTGTAGGGTCGCTTTGAGTTGAAGTGACTCTACGGGACCTAACAACAACAGCAACATATTATAATTAATATTTTAAAAAGGAAAACAGGCTTTCGGAAAGGCAGAGAAGTTTAGAAGCCAAAGTCAGATGCCTTATGCAATTCTTTGCATATTAGCAGAAACAATTCAAGCACATCCAAAGTCCAGGAAATAATAATCTGACCCAAGTGGTCCATTTAGATGAGAAGAAAAAAGAATTTGTTTGGCATCTCCAAGATTTTCTCAAGAGTTTAAATAAAACAGGGAGAAATGTTTCAGAAACCACATTAATCCCGAAACCTAAATCAAAAATCGAATCTGGCACTTCGTGTTAAGTGTGGGGCAGAGGAAAAGGCAGTTAAAGAAAACAGGCCGGGTGGTGGCTCTGGACAAACCCGGGAAGGGCGGGCAGGAAGTCCTTGGCGGGGGAGACCTTTCTCCTCGTTTTCGGAAAGGTGCTTTTGGAGGCTCCATTCCCCAAGGTCTCCTCCAGGAGTCACTGGCCGCGCTCCTCCCCCGGAGGCCGGTCTGCCGGACGTAGCGCCGGGCGGGTGAGAGAAAACTCAGGGCACTTTACGGGTGGGGCGACGGGTGCGACTGCGAGCGCTTGTGCGGGGCAGGAGAGCGTTTCCCCTAGCGCTGCTGCTGCTGTTGTTGTCCGGGGTGCTGAAAAGCCGGGAACTTCCCGGGAAGCAGCAGCCCCTTTTCTTTCTCTGAGGGGTGGGGAGTAGGGGTTTCACGGTGCGCACTTGCTAAAGCCGCCCTGGCCCCATGCCCGGAGGTGCCCGCCAGAAATGAAAGAGGTGGAATGAGGGGATGAGCACAGCCGGGCACACCAGGCGGGATCTCCGGGAGCCCTTTCCCCGCCTCCACCGAGCAAGGCCACGGCCGCGACCCGCGCTCCATCTGCGCGAGAACTCTTGCCTCATCCGGACGCGTGCGGCTGCGGACTGAGCGCTGCGATGAGCCCGAGGGGAGGCGCAAGGTGCCGGCGTGTGCGGGAAAACAAGCACTAGTCCCGGGATTGGGGAGGGGTGGGTGGAGGCGAGAGCGCGCGGGGCATGCGCAGTGGGGCGGAGGAGGTGGCGATGGCCCGGGAGGCGGGGGGACTGCTGTTTATTTGCAGCTGGGCCAACTCCGCGGCGCAGACGGCGGCAGAGCGCGGGGCGCCGGCGGCGAGTTCAGCCGCCGCAGCACCATGCCCGAGCCCACCTCCGGGCAGCCGCTGTGCGCCTCCAGAACCCCGGAAGGGGAGGATGCCAGACACCCGGGAGAGGCCAGGACAGCAGTGGCGGCGGCGGCGCGATGGTGGTGACAACCTCTGCCCGAAGCGGCAGCGGCCGGGACCGCACGCCCTCCCGGTGGCGGGACTGCGGACTCGCGCCGGCTGGGGCCGCGGCGCTGCTCGCCGGGGCGAGTTGCCTGTGCTACGGCAACTCCCTGCAGGGCGAGTTCGTGCACGACGACGTGTGGGCTATCGTGAACAATCCCGACGTGCGGCCCGACGCCCCGCTCCTCTGGGGCATCTTCGCCAACGACTTCTGGGGCAAGGGCATGGCCGAGAACACCAGCCATAAGTCCTATCGGCCGCTCTGTGTCCTCACCTTCAAGTGAGTCCCTCGCCTCGCTGTAGCCGCCGCTCCTGGCCGAGAGAAGTTGCGGGCCTGGCTTGGGGGGCATTTCTGTTTCTTGTTGCCCCCCCCACCCCGCCATGCATTCCTTGTTTGCGGGCTGCCCACGCCGCTCTGGGTCCTAGTCCTCTGCCCAGCTTCCCTGCGCTGCTGAGGCGGTTCAGGAGGTACAGGCTGGTAGTTGGAATTGAGTTTTTCAAGTGTACGCTCTTGGCAGGCTTTTCTCTCGGGGCAGGGCTGGGAGGGGTCTGGAGGAGCCGCCTCCGCACACCCCCTGATGTAGGGCGGCCAAGTGGGACCAGCGGAGGCCCAACGCGCTCCGTAGGGGAGACGGTGGCAGGGTTGCTTCCAAGTTGGGAATTTCTGGGAATTTCTTTTGGGCAGCTTTGCAAACAGGGAGCTTGTCAGCCCCTTTGGGGTAGCGTTCGCATGAGACAAGGCAGGAGCTCTGAGCTGCCAGGGGTGCGTGGGCTTTGGGGGGAGGAGCAGAGGAGACAGCAGAGGATCTCTCCCCCCGCCGCCCCTAGCCCCGCGCCTTTGGCTGCTCGCAGACCCTTTCCAATCTGCCAAAAGTACCTGGCATCTAGACTTAATAAACGTGCAAAGCAACGGAACGCAGAAGCGTGGAATCCTCTGGGGGGATCCTTGCGTCCCAGCCGAAATAGTTTTTCTTTTATAACCTCAGAGTCATGATTCAGCATTTCTGGGGTGAATAAAATGTAAGGGGAACCGAGGGTACGCCGGGTTTTTGTATGCTGGAGTATTGTCTTGAATTTAAAAGAGGGCTAGCACCAGACAGAAAGGAGCAGAGCTAATTTGAGGGAAGTGCTGCCACATCCACCGTGAGCTTGACTCAGCCTTTTATAATTTGGCTCAGAATTTAAGCTGTTATGATGTGCCGGACAAAACGGCTGAACTAGTATTGGTTCCGTATCATCAGCGTTTTTAAGCCTTTTCCGTTTTTAAGCCTTTTCCAACGGCTGTAATAGGAACCTGTCTTTATGGTAATGATCATTCGAGACCGGGTCGGCAGTTTGAAAAGCCTGCCCTGGCCAGGAGTATCTCTTGACAGGTGGCTCTGATGACTTAGAAAAGAAAACCATAGCAATTCGCAACAATTCGTGGGCTTTCGACTTAATTCTTCCGCTGAAAGCTTAAGGTTTTAAGGAGGGCGAGGAAATTGCATATTTGACTCTGAAAAGAATATTTTATAAACGTTTTTCCTCTTTCAAGGTTGTCCTGGGTGAGAGTTGAAAGATAATCTTGGCTAGTGAACAAGTTGCTCAGTACTTTGAGTTTTCCAAATATTTCTTAGAATCTCCTTAGACAGCACAGCTATAAATGTTTAAGTTCTAGATTGACCTTTGCCATTTATTACAGTGAGGGTTATTAGTTCATTTAACGTGTGGAAGTGCACAGTGAGGTGGGCTGGACCTGACATCACGGAGATTATCCTCCTCCCTGGTCTGAGGATACTCCTTTTAAAAAGATCTGGGCCCAATGCCTATGCTCATTTGGTGGAGGATGAGGAAGAGTGTTTTTAGTTCTTGACTTTCTAAAATGTTGCTTTATTTATGCAGATGAAGACAGGGTCAGAGGAGAAAAGGTGGAGGAAGGAAGAGGGGAAGGAGAAAATTAGCATGGGTTTGGCAGCAGAACGCGGCAAAGGAGGAGGAAGTTGAGGGGAGACTCTTTACTTGTAATCATTGATTCTAAAAAGCAGCTTGGTGTCCAAGATGCATTGCTTTTCTCATAGTGTATCTCATTGCCTAGGTAAGATACACTTGTTTTTCTTTTGAGAAGATTGAGTTGCAAATCTAAAGAGCAACACAAAACAACTGCAGATGAATGGGTGCTTCTTCGAAAAAATAATCTTTCTGTGCTCAGATGAATTGTTTTAAATAAGACCAGGCAGGTTTCAGTATAGTCACCTGAGTTAAAACAACATCCTCTAGTGCAGTAGCATAAAGCTAGGCCTGTATAACAGAGGAAATTGATGAAGTTAGACCCATGCAACTTTAAAGATTGTTACAAGGAAGAACATTTATTAACTGTTCAGTAAGAACCAAGCGTTAGTCTGTGTCTTTATGATTTTTGTTTAGGTAGATGGTGAAAATACAGTTAAAGGGCCCTTAAAAGATTTAAGGAGCCCTGGTGGTGCAGTGGTTAAGAGCTTGGCTGCTAACCGCAAGGTTTGCAGTTCAGATCCACCAGCCGCTTCTTGGAAACCCTGTGGGGCAGTGCTGCTCCGCCTTATAGGGTTGCTATGAGTTGGGATCGACTTGACAGCAATGGGTTTTTTTTTTTTTTTTTGGTTTTGGCTGCGTATGTTTAAGAGCTCGGCTGTTAACTGAAAGGTGGGCAGTTGGAACCCATCAGCCACTTCACAGGAGGAAGATGTGGCAATCTGCTTCCATAAAAATTTATCGCCTTGGAAACTCTATAGGGTAGTTCTGCTCTGTCTTACAGGGTCTGTATGAGTTGGAATTGACTCGATGGCAACAGGTTTAGTTGTTGGTTAAATATTTAAACAGTATCTTAACTATATAACTATTTTAATTTTTGTTAGGTATCGAGATAGTTCCAACTCATAGTGATCCTGTGCACAACAGAATGTACAACAGAACAAAACACTGCCCAGTCTTACGCCATTCTCACAGTCGTTATGCTTGAGCCCATTGTTGCGGCCACTATGTCAATCCGTCTCTTCCTTCCTCTTTTTTGCTGACCCTCTACTTTACCAAGCATGATGTCCTTCAGGGATTGATCCCTCCTGATAACATGTCCAAAGTATGTGAGACGTAGTCTCGCCATCCTTGCTTTTAAGGAGCATTCTGGCTATACTTCTTCCAAGACAGAGCTGTTTGTTCTTTTGTTAGTCCATGGTGTATTCAGTATTCTTCGCCAACACTGTAATTCAAAAACATCAATTCTTCAGTCTTGCTTATTCATCGTCTACCTTTCGCATGCGTGTGAGGCGACTGAAAACACCATGGCTTGGGTCAGGCACACTTTAGTCTTCAAGGTGACATGTTTGGTTTTCAACACTTTAAAGAAGTCTTTTGCAGTAGATTTGGCCAGTGCAGTGTATCTTTTGATTTCTTGATTGCCGCTTCCATGGGTGTTGATTGTGGATCCAAGTAAAATGAAATCTTTGATGGCTTCAGTCTTTTCTCTGTTTATCATGATGTTGCTTTTTGGTCCAGTTGTGAGGATTTTTGTTTTATGTTGAGGTGTAATCCATACCGAAGGTTGTGGTCTTTGATCTTCATCAGTAAGTGCTTCAAGTCCTCTCCACTTTCAGCAAGGTTGTGTCATCTGCATAACGAAGATTGTCAATAAGTCTCCAATCGTGATGCCACATTCTTCTTCATATAGTCCAGCTTTTCAGATTATTTGCTTAGCATACAGACTCAGTAAGTATGGGAAAGGATACAACCCTGACACATACCTTTCCTGACTTTAAACCTGACAGTATCCCCTTGTTCTGTCCGAACGACTGCCTCTTGATCTATGTACAGGTTCCTCATGAACACAATTAAGTGTTCTGGAATTCCCATTCTTTGCAGTGTTATCCATAATTTGTTATGATCCATGCAGTCTAATGTGCCTTTGCATAGTCAATAAAACACAGGTAAACATCTTTCTGGTATTCTCTGCTTTCAGCCATGATCCATCTGACATCAGCAATGATATCCCTCGTTCCATGTCCTCTTCTGAATGTGGCTTGAATTTCTGTCAGTTCCCTGTTGATGTACTGCTGCAACCACTTTTTTTTTTTTAACTATATTTAAGTTTACTTGTTTGAGCAAAAATCTTTGAAACTCCAAACCCGGTTCTTAAAAACCTTTTAATTAGAGAAAATTCTACATTCTCTTGCAATTGCAAGAAACAATACAGAGGTCTTTTGTATACCTCACCCATTTTCCCTCTGTGGTAGGGTCTTGCATTACTGTAGAACAATATCACAACCAGGAAATTTACATTGATGCAATTCACAGACCTTATTCAGATTTTGCCAGTGTTACATGTGCTCTTTTCTTTTGTATGTGTGTATTTAGTTCTGTGCAGTCTTACACATGTGTAGCTTTCTGTGACCACCTGACAGTACAGAAGGATCCCTCATACTATGCTGTTATAACCACAGACACCCCACAACCCCTCATGACCATTAATCTGTTCTCTATGTCTCTAATTTTGTAATTTTAAGAATATTTTATATGTGGACTCATAACTCATATAGTATGTAACCTATTAATATGGACTATCTCACTCAGCATAATTCTCTGGTGACTCATTCAGTTTGTTTTGTGTATCAATAGTTGATCCATTTTTATTAGTGAGTAGTATTCCATGGAATGGATGTACCACAGTTTGTTTAATGATTCACTCATTTAAGGCTGTCTGGGTTGTTTTCACAAATAAAGCTGCTATAAACAATCATGTACAGGATTTTGTGTAACCATAAATTTTATTTCTCTGGGATAAATGCCCAGGTCATATTGCTAGGTCATATGGTAGTTGCATATTTAGATTTTTAAGAAACTGCCAAACTGTTTTCCAGACATCTTACCAGCCATGGATGAGTGATGCAGTTTCTCTATATCCTTGCCAGCATTTGGTATCGTCACTATTTTTGATTATAGTCATTTTGAAGGGTACGTAGTGATATCTCATTGTAGTTTTAATTTGTATTTCCTGAACAGCTAATGTTGTTGAGTATCTTTTCATGTGCTCATTTCATTTGCCCTCTATGTATCATCTTTGGTGAAATGTCTCTTTGTGTCTTGTGTCCATTTTCCAAGTGAATTTTTTTTTTTTTTTTTTTTACTATTTTTAGAGTTATGTATTGTAGATATAACTCCTTTGTCAGAGATATATGGTTGGCAGATATTTTTTCCCACTCTGTAGCTTGTCTTTTCATCATTTTCTGAGTTTTTGCAGTGCAAAAATCAAACCCTTTTTTTATTAAAAGTAAA